GTTTGGACTGATTTGCTAAACAGCATCATATCACACAGATCTGGTCTGTGCTTTGAAATAATACTGAAACACAGGCTACAAGTGCAAGGGGCCTCCAGTTAACAGCAGAGAGCAGGGCTGAGCTCACATATTTAAACCCTTGAAGAAAATGAACACACTTGCAGTCTGGGTTGCTTCCTGCAACAGCCATGTGCACTATGGATCCAAAGCCCTTATGTGTCTGTGCCTTGGTTTCCTTCCTATACAGTCAGGAGAGCCACCTTTCTCTCTTGCTGCAGCTCACTGCAAGGACAGCTCCACCAGTGCTCCAGAACACAGTGCTCTGCAGAAGCACCAAAACCAAGCTGTCTCCTGACTGCAAGCAACATCAGAGCTTCACAGGCAAGGCAGCTGAAGTAGGACCATTAGTCCTGAGATACCTTTCTGGGTGTCACGAAATTTGGGCAGAGGTACCCTTCAGCTACTCTGGCCAGGCACTGACCAGCAGCAACAAAATTCTCCTCCTTCCCACTGCAGTGATGCAAGGTTGACAGGGCTGAGCTGTCTGATCTGAGCTTACTAAACTACAATCCTCACTGAGTATGACTCTCGTACCTGTCCAGCTATTGCAATTCTACATGGCAAGGTAAGATATTTAAATCTTTGTCATTTCTTGTTCTTCTACTACCCCTTCCCCACCGACCACTGCCAGCCTCTCCTTCCAGCCCTCCACTCTGACCCACAGCTGTTTGCAGCCACAAGTCTTCCCTCTCTTTAGTCTGTACACAGCACTGGATGAAACTGGGCACATGAAGAGAGGCCTCCAAGACACTGCCTGGGAGCAGTGACAATAGGAGACACTGCCTCTTGCAATGGCTCTGCTCAAGGCAATACATTGCTTAAGAATCATGGCTTGGCAATCCCTACAGTGACAGGGATGGGAAAGATCTAATGTTTCCCTTGCTCTGTGTTAACTTCCCTCTGCTGTTTTCTCCTTCTTTCTGCTCCATTTGGCATCTGAGCACCATTTCACTCTCCTCTATGCTCCTTTTCTTGTTGTGGCTACACACAGCAACTAACCCAGGCAACTCTCTTGTCAGTGCCCCGCTAAAGCTGCCCCCAGGCAGCAGTCAGGGCAGGCACCCCACACTGACCTGCCAACACATCCAGCTGAAGGACTTGGGAGGACAAGGCAATCTGCATTTCGACAGCCCATTCACCTTTGCTGACTTCTGCAGACAACACACACCAGCCTGTGTACACACTCACAACAGCTAACAAGGAACTGGTCAAAAGAAAAAACATGTATCCACAAGTAATCACACCATTTTCTTTGTCAAGTGGATTTTAAGAAAGTAGACACTAAAAGCATCACACTAGCATTGCTCTTCTTCCACCCCACACTGAGGAGGGAATCAACTTTCACAGCAGGTCCCAAAACTGCAGGACTGTACACAGGGTACACCAGACTGCAGTTACTTTCATACTACTTTGGTCCTAGCACTCAGCACTCCATACCTCCTAAGAGTTCCCTTCTCTTGCACAGACCAGTTAGAATAGCTCACTCATGGGAAAAAAAAAAAATTCATCTGAGCATGGAAATTTTAGCAAACTACATATAGAACAGGTGCCCCTTTAAAGTATGACTCTTTTCCTCTCTGAAAGGCACATGTAGCAGGTTCCCTACTGTCAGGTGTAGACTCAAGTGATGAAAGAAAAATACATAAATGTTTATTAAACCTTTGCTGCCATTCACACCACCAACTTTCACACCCCAGTGCCAAGCTGTTAACAAATTCCCATGCTGTTCCAGAAGATATTTCACAGCTCCTGTCAGAAAAGGGAAGTTTCACGAGGGCAGCACTCACTGGAAAAGTCTCTGCTCCCACCACCATCAACAAAAAACATTCACAACCAGCTGTTTGTGGAATAAATGTGTCCTGGTCAAACTGTGTGGGAATAAAGAGCTTCTTCCAGTGAGGCATGGTGCCACCTTTATGTAAACCTCATGATACATATTTGTCTCAAGATTGTTTATCCTAAAGCTTATCTACTTACCTAATGACCAAGAATAAAAATTATCCATGATAAGCCAAGTGACCACATGAGGCTCAGGCCAGGTGGCAGCTGTGTGTGTGCAGGTTACAGCTCATACGTTCAGACACAGCGTCACCTCCTCGGAGAACTCTGCAGCTCCAGGCTGCAGCCCTGGCCAGCAGCCCCATGGCAGGGCCCCTTTGGGCACACAGACCCCTCAGGGAGGCACTGTACCACCCAGCACTCTGTGTCACATTCCCTTTCTGGCAGCCAGGCTCTGCTGTGCAGCCAGGTAAACCCACTGCGAGGCACTGCCTGCCCGAGCCTCGGCAGCTCTGCAGGATTGCCACGGCAAAGCACAGCAAAGGCAGGGTGAAGCTGTACAGCAGTTCTCTCTACTGCCACAGCTCCTCTTTCCCCCCAGCCTGGAAGATCCTGGTCTAAAAAGAACAGGAGAAGGCAAGATGTTTCTCACAAGATGAAATGAAATTGCTGCTCCTCTCAGAGTCATCCAAAACAAGAGGTGGGCCAAAATGAAACACTTTCCCAACTCAAAAGGTGACAATTGTGATATACCATGTTACAGCTTTTACAATACCAAAGCTTTGATAAACTCATTTACTTTGTCTCTGGAGGACATGGGGACAACTACTCATGTCACCATTTTGCGCAGCACATTGCTCAAAGCTTTGAAAAATGCAACTGAGGAACTTCAGCTTCTCATGCAGATCCTGTAATTCAGCTGATCATGAAGAAGAACTAAGTGGCCGTTTATTAATGTGCATTGCTAATGGAAATCAATCCCAAGTACTAGAAGAGAAGCAGACTTTTCTTCCTACAACCAGAATGAATAAAGCAAATAGCTTTATTTTTCTCCCCTTCTTAATATCAGAAAATTTTGTTCCCTTAATAAATTCTTATAGCTGCAATTTAGCAGCATGCTTCTGTCAACCCTAGTTAACTGATTAGAACCCAATATTCTATTAATTTTTGAGTTAAACAAAACAGCCTCAGAAATCAATTGTCACTCTGTCTCTGTCTGTACCTCATCTCTCAGCTTACAGACAGCTAGCACAGAGGCAAGATACTACAGAACATGCTGCATACTTCAGCTTCATATCTTAAAATCAGCATGGCTGACAGTATTTGCTCAGGATGTCTAAAAGACTTTGGTGGACTGGTCTTTCTGTGTCAAAGTAAATAACCTGACCAAGAGATTTGTTAGTGGATGGATCTTTAAGATACTTATATATATATACACCATCTGATATTGTCTAGTGGAAAGTAATTGCTCCTTAAAGATGAAAATATTACAGACTTTTCTTTCAGACTAATCACAACAATTAGATATTTTATTTTCTAGTCAAGTTATTCGAGCAATACATCAAGTGACAGATTAGTATCTGAACCTGCTCATTGTCAAAGCCTGTAGTTCGAAAACGCAGTGGCCATTTCCTCCCTGCACAGTGACTAATTTCCTTCGTGAGTCAATCTGTCTCTCCTCCTCACTATTCTCACAACAGAGAGATGCTGCAAAAGCAAGGTTCCCCCCCATGAGACGCTGAGCCAGTGTGGATCACTGCACTGCATGGCATGCCTCCGTGGAGCAGGTTTTCTGCAAAGCCCATTCCCCTCTGTAAGTGCCAAGAATCAAATTTTGGCCACCTAATGCAGCATGTTCCACATGTTAGCTCGCAACACGTTGAGCAACTGTGTTAACTGAGATGGATAGTGCTGTCAAACAGAAAGCTGGCTCACCAGGATGGAAGCAGTGGGATACACTGACCTTTTACATTCAGAAAAAAAAGAGTTCCTAAGATGACACGAAACATTTAATATTAAAAACAAAAACAACTACCTTCTTGCAGAGCTTTTATTACCATATTATGTAAATAAACACATGTTCATGAGCTCTGCCTGTTTTAAGAACCTGAGCCTCTCTCACAGAGCAGAGTCTGACAGAGGAAATGAATCACTATCACCCAGCTTGGAAAGAAGTTTGTACAAGGAGCCCAAGCTATTAACCACTGCCTGGAATTCCTGGATTCAACACCACCAATGTTCCCTCTGTTCCCACGTTCAAATACCCAGCTATACAAAATAACTAAAACCAACAGACAAAATCCAAAATCCAGCAAAGTTGCTATTAAACTACTCTAAATGTGCACAGGTTTTATTGGTGATATGGAGATGAAACAAACCTAAAGGCTTCTCATCCAAAAGTATAAGCACTGAAATAACCTGTGTAGTATAAAAAAGCCTCTTGAAATGCAAGGTTCATTCTGGAAAGATTTCTCCCAGCCCACCACCTCCTGCCCATCTCCCTCAAGATTAGGATTTTCGGATTGTTTTTTTTCAAGTTGATATTTTGGGTAGGGAAGGAAAGCTTTGTTTATTTTAAGATTTTGCTGCTAACAGAGAATTATCTCTAAGTGGAAGGAACTGTAGAGCTTTACACAGGGCTTTGCAGCAACATAGTAGGTAAGTGAAAACAGAGAAATCAGCCTGTACATTTAGCCCTACAACTATTTGCCATAAAGAGAGTATGTATACATATGTAACCATTCTCTACAATGTGTAATTTAAAAAATGAAAGGCTACAATAGGCTGTTCAAAATGGCCCTGCTACAAAGAAGAACACTAGATACCATCTAGCTGTACACCTACAGGTTCTACCCAGCTCTGCTGCGCTGACTTCCTCGGAGCAGCGACCTGCCTTGTGGTTCGGAACAAGTGTGTCATGGATATGCTGGCTGATCATTATCACCATATTTCACACTTCAGCAAGATCTACCTCATGCTTTCGAGGCAAGTTAACAAGGTGGGGCTTGCTGTACACCTAGTTTAAGATTAAACAATTAACACACTGATATAACCACTTCCAAGATTTGCCACCAATTTTCTTGCTTTCTCCTTACATTGAACAACCTCAGGTGCCGTATTCTGCGGTGCAGAGAAGGGGGGAAAAGAACTTTATTGAATACCTTGTGCCTGAGCTGCAGAACTGTGGGAATACCCCAGAGCCAGGAGCGCTGTCTCCACCAGCTGGCTAAAGAGCACATCTTTGCGAACCAGAACGAACTCAGCATGCTCTTCTCGATTATCGTATTCAAGAGAGGCGTCCGACTGCTCCACCACACAAAAGACGGGAATCATCAAACCTAGATGGAAAAAAAAAAACCCAAAAACAACAAAGCATCAATAAGAGGGGAACAAGAAGTCTGTCATACATCTCTGATTAAAGCTGTAAATTAAAACACCTCCTAGAAGGCTCATCATAAGTGGAAATCTGCCTTTCTTCCCTGTGGGATAGCTTTTGTTTTCTTTCCAAGGGAAATACTGAAGTCTCATCACTTGACTCATTTAAAAACCACACTAAAAGCTCCAGAGAATACAGTTCAGGAACAGAATCAGAGTCAGCATTAGGATGAACAAGATTTCCTAATAAGATTTTTTCAACATAGCAGAAGTTTTCTACAGTTCCATGAATGTCCCTATTCTTTCAGGTCAGAGCTTCTCCGCCTTCAGCTATACAAAAACCTGACATACAAATGCTGCTTCTGCTTCTCTCTACACAGTGAATCTACACAGTGAACGCATGGAGGAATCAGCAGAGGCAGGTAGCCTTGGGGGACACTTAGATATACGTGCATTTTTAGACCATGGCCAGTCTTCTCATTGTGCACGGAAAATATTCTTGCATTGATTTTGCTGAAAATTATAACCTTGTATTGGCAGCTGATGGTCACACAGACCTGGACAGACAAGGGGGCTGTCCTCTTGCTGCATGCACGGAGAGAGTGAGAACAGCTCTCTTTGAAAGAGCATCAAGGATGAGGAGGAACCACAGAAGTGGAAAACTCAGAGGGTGGTCTGGATTCAATTTTGTTCTGTTTTATTGTAAATTTACTTTTGTGGTTACAGGATCAAGTCATCTATGGCAATAAATTGTGGGGCATGAACTTAAAGGGATTCAATACAACAGGCAGTAGAGAAACATGCCCATTTGCAGGCAACGACCCTACAGTGCATGCACAGAGGGAAGAGGGAACAGACAAAAAACTTACAGAACTGCACTGCTATTTCCATCACCTGCTACAGGCCTGGCTGTAGTCAGGGGGAGCCAAAGGAAAAATCATTACCTGCAGTCACAGAAATTTATTAATTGGTTACATACAGTTTGTTAGTCCCTAGATAAACTAGGAAATATCGGGGCAGAGACCAAACTCAGCCTATAGCAGTTTTCCAAATATGTCATCTAAGGCTCATAATACCACCAGAAAGCTCTCTTCTAAATCTTACTTTTCAGAATGAAATATAACCATTTCCAGTAGAAAATAACTTCAAAAAAAATATCTGAGTGCTTACTTATGAAAGACCAGACACAAATCACTGTATTCTTGGACCAGGCATTTCTTTAAGGGAAAAAGAAGAGAAAGCCACATTTCAGTTCTCCTGCACGAAGTCCATTAAATATCTTTGAGATATTCTGCTATCAGTAGTGTCAGTATCTACAAACCAATAGTTATATATCCCTTCAGAGGAGTCACCGTGCCCTGAAATAAACACAGTCACACCAACAACTGCTATGGGACTTAAATACTCCTTATCTTGAATTTTGAGAAACTAAATTACTTTAAAAGATATTTTAGATCCACAATTCTCACTCAGTGAGAGGCCCACAACAAGAGCTACAGGCTACATTATCCAGTTGATGTGTTTTAGTTATTTGTTTTAAAACATCCTGAAGTAATTTACAAGAAGGTTACCACATCACACAGATACTGCTCCCTCTTCGCTGCTTGATTCTGGGTTAAACTGATGCATTTTGCAAGTTCAAGCAGCCAAATTCTAACACACCGTGCTAAAAAAAATCTCTGTGAAAAAAAATCTCTAGGTGCTTTCCTGAAAAGACAGCCCATGGCTGATCACGTTCCACTGAAATCAGTGACAAAATTTCTCTTCCTATGAAAGGTTAAAACTAGAATTCTATTTGTTCATAAACCATTTAACTAGCTAAAACGAAACTAAGTCTCTTTAAGTGACAAACTTCCAGTCCTGTCGAACATACAGGCTGTCACAGCACTTTTGATGGGGCTATTAATGTCTTGGCAAAAGATTAGGATAATTGGCCAAATGCTGAGGCTGTAATATCAGTTGTGTAAATTACATTTTGGCAAGACAGGAAAAGTGATGAAGCAAACTGATGAGAGGGAGGCCACAGTGTCTTTTATCCTCCTGCTGGATGCTTTCCTTGTCAAACAACAGTCTCTCCTTTTCAGCACAGAAGTTGCACCTGTTCCCCGCGCTCATCCCTTACTGTCTGAGTACAAACAGGACCTCAAAAGCTAGAACTGATGCCATACACGATATCACTTCATGGATGGCACAAAGGGCCCTCAGGACCCCTGCCCATTATGATTTTCCTGGCCCTTCCTGCTGCCCATGTTTGCAGAGACCCTGCTACAGAAACAGCTTTTGAAAAAACATCTCTGAACTCAGTGACTCAGTGTAACTGTTGATAAGCTGCTATTAGTACCTTAAAAAAAGAGAGCAAAGGGCAGGTTACCACATCTGTCATTGCTAACCTATTCTCATGCCTCTCACTGTAGCATCTGGAATCTTAATACCAATTTTATTTTAGTAAAAAACAACAGTAATCCAACCTATTTCCTAGTAAATCTTACTCCCAAGGAAGTTTCAACCACTTTGTCCTCTGTTTTGCATTAGAGAGGTAAACGGTCATATCTCCAATGGATTTATCACCCCAAGCTTCTCGGTTTCCTGACGTTATCTGAAAATAAATTAACATACTTTCAGTATGTTGGAATCAGAAGGAAAAATACCTGCAGTCAGAGGCCAACATGCTCTTTACACACTGATACACACCATGCCTTGCTCCTACATGCACATTTTATACCTCCAGCTCACTACGGGGCCCTGAGAGAAGAGCAATACAAGTTCCTCATTGCTCACTGTCATTCCAGTCGAAGAACTTAGAGCAGCACTCCGAGAGCAGGAGACCAAGCATCCATAATGAAGTCTCTCACGCAGTGCTACTGCAGTGCAAGCCAGCCTTACTCACAAATCCTGAAACTCCTCAGCTCTTTCCCTAACGAGCGATCAGCCAGAGCTCCTGTCATCCTCTCCTGCCCACACCCATGCACCGAAAGGGCTGAGGTTCCCTCGGCACTGAAACTGTGTGCACTCGCTCTCCCAGCTCCAGAAAGATGCTGCAGTGACTGATGCTGCACAGCTCATGGTGGATGACACACAGCATTGATTTTCACACACGGAGAAAAACAGGGGTAATCTGAGGGCTAAAAAAGGAAAGAGTTTGTTTCCTTGAAGGATGAAAACAATGCTGGTATGCACACAAAACGGTAACAGCAATCTCAAATCATACAAGAGACTTTTTCTCCTTGGTTTTTCTTCACTTAACTGACTTAGAAGCAGCTTTTTTATGCTTCTCACAGAGCTTTGACCCCATATAGATGGCAGCTGCATAAAATATCAGGGGAACATAAACCAAGACCTACATAAAGGTTTTTATAAGAACATCCATACACAACAAGAATCATACCTAATCCATGAAAGAGACCAGTGAAAAACTGTTCCCACTATTACCCAGAAGAACAGAATGGTTAGTAGTGACCAGAACACTTGTATAACATACATATTTAAAACAAATCAAAGATGAGATTTAAGCCCCACTGTTGCTTTCACAGAAAAGTTGCAATGTACAGAGAAGACTTTGTAAACAGAGTTGCATTTTTTGCTGAAACTCTGTAAGGGGCAGAGAAATCAGGAAGAATTAAATATTTATCAAAGAGACTGGTGTCCAAATGCACATTTTCTCCTCCTTGTCCATTTTAATCTGTAGTTTTATTTCACTGGGGAGAAATCAGTTCTTTAAAATGAAGGAAAGAGAAACAGATAATTCATTCAAGAAGTGAAAACCTGGGACACTCTGTTGCATAAAGCATTCATTTTTCCAAAAACAACCTTAAAGCCAGTGAAAAGTATTATCAAACTGCAGTCATACAGCTCCCTGGAAACCATTTTCAAGACTTACGAGTAAAAAGCTGCAAATTTCTAATGCCCAACTAGAAGGATGAGAGAGAACAGATATTAAGAAGTCCTGCACTGTTTCTTTTGTTCATTTGCAAATCATACTTGGTCCAGTACCTGTTTTAAACGAGTAGTAAATACAATACTACTGGCACTGAACTTCTGTGTATTGTCCACATACCCATCATAGACTTGGCAATCAAAGCAAAGAAGAAAAGGACACAGAAAATTGAGGAGCAGGTTACTCTTTCTGCCACCCACCTCTCCCGCCATTAAATAGGGAGCGGTGTTTGCATGTCCTAATAAGTGTAAAATTAAGATCAACCAACAAGAAGAGGCACCAATAAAATTTGTCTTTTTAGATTAAAATCTCTTTCCATCAGCACAGTTTTGAGCCCCGTCTAGGTGTTATTTAATTTAATATAATTTGAACAATTTCCAAACATCAGCTTGATTAATTTCAACAGCATGGTGTTATGGTAAGATTTACTGTACAGGGGTTGTCTAGCAGGGAATTAATAAAGAAGCCAGTTCTTTGCCCTGAGTAACATGAGGTTTTAAGACTTCCCAGATTTCTAGTGGGAATACTTCACAGCACAAGCATGTTTTCTTCTGGGAGTGAAACCCACCAAAATTATTAAAAACTGAGATCAAATGGTGGTGTCAAACCCAAAGGAAATCATTCTACAGTGGAGAGATTTTTATCAAATGAAGAAAGTGGAAAATAAAGTTTCTGTTGTTGCTGTTGTGCTTTGGATTTTTAGGTTTTGTTTGTTGGCTTTTTTTTATTGTTTGTTTGTTTTTTTAAATCAGAACATAGACACACACACACACAGAGTGTAATCTCACACGAAGACAAAGCAAATTTCTATGGTTTTTCATTCAGAAACTTGGACATCTTGAAAATTCATAAACAACTGAAACTACTCTTCATTACTGTATGCAGAAAACATTTTCCTTAGCAGAGACTGTAATGTGGGTCGTTCTCTAAGCTGGTCTTTCCAATACATAGAAGGGAAAAAAGAAAAAAAAAAAAAAAAAAGAAAAGAAAAGAAGAAATCTGGGCAACAGCAAGAGCAGCATCCACAAA